AAATTCTCATGGAATATGCTAAACGACCACGTTTACCTCCACCTTTTATTATTATTTCTTATATCAGTAAGACGATTGTAAATATTTTCTGAAGGAACGAACAGTAAAATTTTCATTTAGAAAGATGATTTTAAAGTGTTTAGTAGTCACACTCACGAAAGAGTTACTTGAGCTGTTGCTCATCATTTGACTTCATATAAAAGCCTTGGCATGGTTAGAAAACCTTGAAAAGAGTTGTTACCTATGAATCTATAGAGTAGAACCTTTCAAGTTAGTGTAGTTCCAAAAATTTTGGATTTGATCGACTTCACTCCGATACTAAGTTATGACTGTTTTATCAAATTTTCGATTCATTGTCAAATATTTATTAAAGAATCAAATAACAGAATTTCAATCTACAAATTTTGATTATAAATTAGTCTAATGACACTAAGAATATCCTAGAAGTTTTAACCAAAAAGAAAAATGTTTCTTTGTTGAGAAGTTGAATTTTTAATAAACTCAATTTTCTTTGCATGTTTTTTGTACGCGATGACTAGTTAGAAATTTAATACTTCAATAAACAACAAAATATTATTTTTGGCTAAAACTTGTATGATATTTTTCAGAATCATAAATCTATTTATGAGCTGAATTTCATAAATTTTAACGAAACATATAAATCTTTTTCTTTTTACAATAGTTATGTTAATAAGAAGTTGTGCTTCTCGATGTTTACTAAAATTAAAAGAAAATACTGATAAGAAAAATAGTTCTACAATTCGAATTCTTGCACAATCAATTCCAACAGGTATACATTTTTACTATAGTAAAAAGAAAAATCGAAATTTTATTATTCGATTTATTTCAGTAATAAAAAATGATGATACAGATGAATTCAAGGATACATCCAATGAAGTAATTCAAAATCGTTCAATATTCCAACGTTTACTTAGTTGTAAACCATGTCAAAAAGTTATAGAAAATCATAAAAATAAAGTTGTATTTAGAATAAATATTTTCTTTTATATTTGATTAATAAACATAATTTATTCTAGAATGCGGATAAACGTAAATGGGAAAATAATGAAGCTAATGTATATTGGAAATATAAAGCTAAAGAATTTTATGCTAAAACACAAGAAACTGATAAAGTACAAGGAAAACTTGATAATTTATCTAAATGGTAAAAATAAAAATTTTTGTTTTGTATTTTTCTTCATAAAAAAAATTAATTTTAGTACAATAAATATGCAAAAAGATATTGATATACTACGAAAATCATTACGACACATTAGTGATCGTGTTGTTACATCAGAAAAATTATTGATTGATTCACAAATATTACTTGAAAAAATTCATTCAACAATTAAACAAGAAAATAAATCATTACCTATATATCAAAAATTTATTCATATCTTATCAAGAGAATCACCATATATTTATACAAATGAAGCACGATTTCCAGTTACAGAAAGACATATTCCTTGGAAGGTTATTTTTTTTTTGTTGAAATAAATTTAATAGATATTTGAAATTTTTAGATTTCATTTGATTTTTATGATCCAACAGTAATTTCGTTACCAAAACAACATGATTGTTTTCAAGACTCCGAACGACTATTTGTTGAACCCGATTTGTAAGTTTGGATTTTTTTTCTTTAATTAAACTTCGATTATATTTGAATCGAATTTATTTAGAGCTATTGAATCATCAGTGACAACAATGACTGATATTACTGCTCCATTAATAGATTATAAATGGAATCAAGTTGTTGAATCACAACTACCTGATGGAAAAAAGGTTTTTCATTCTGTTTTTTTTCCCTAAATAAAATCATCAAATTTATATTTTCAGATTATTATTGATCGAACAACTTGGATTGCAACTTCGGAAGATAAAATATCTTCATTCTATAGATTAGATAATCAATTATCAATACCTTTGTATATAAATATATGAAATTCTATATGTAGATTTATATTTTATATTTCTATAGAAATCCTATGGGTCGTACAGGTGTACGTGGTCGTGGTGCATTAATTCGATGGGGACCAAACAAATCTATTATAGCTGTAATAACACGATGGAAAAAACATCATGATCAATTTACTGTTATTGATGGACAAAGAATTTTAGAAACTTTAGTGTTTAAAGATAAATATACAAATGATTGGAAATTACCTGAAGTATTTTTAATTTTTCTTTTCGAATCAAACTTCTTTTCTCTTTTGTTCTTAAGGCAAAAATTTTAGGTATCGAATCTTCATATGGTGCTATATGTCGTAGTTTTCATGAGCTTGCTTTTAAAGATAGTGATTCTGAACATAGATTTTCATTTGAAGAAAGTGATATGATTAAAGTAAAATTTTATAATTGAATTTTTTTTTTGATAGTTAATTAAAATGAATTCATATTTAGTATTTTGAATCGTTTGCTTGTGTTTCTATTTCTACTTTTGAACCAACTGGATTTGAATCTCATATGGTCTATCGAGGTAATTCCAAGAGATTTTTGTTTTGATTCTTTTAGTTTAAATTTATTATTATTATTTTAGGATACATTGATGATCTACGTAATACAGATAATGCTTGGGTAGAAGCAGAAATATGGAATTTTCATTACGATTCAAACACAACATTTCCTAATTTGTGTCAAGATGTAAGTTTATTGTTGTTAATCTAAAATGAAATGATTATTTTTTATAATATATTTATTTAGGGTGTGGCAATATGGAAAGATGTGACGAATAATTCTCGAGGTTTTCTTATTCAAACATCAATTCTACGTGAAATAGCTCGAATTCATCAGGCTTTTTTTGAGTGATTAATAATAACAATGATAATAATAATACAAACTAATGTAATATGCTAATTGTCATTCATTCATTCATTCCAGAAAACTATATGAATACATTCTCTCTATCTCTATATTTCTTTTTCTATTTACGTATATGGTGATCTTTTACTTTTTTTTTACTCCATTTTCCTTATTTATCAGTATGATAAAGCTCACTTATTTCAAGCTAATAAGGTAAGATATCCAAGTGTGACACACGGTTTTGAATCGAATGCATACCAATTTGTACAGCCGGATGAACTGATTCTTGTAGTATAAAGCGTTCTTTCTCATATGATCTTTAACTAGACAAAACCAATCAACTCTACTCGTGAGAGATCATATTGGAGACATTTCATCATCAATCCTCTTACTTTAGTTGTACATCGTTATTTGATGGACTAAAAGCTGCTCAACTGTGTATTAATCCGTATATTACAATGTTGCTATCATTAAACATATGTATCATCTACGCATTATGCTATGACAAACATCAATAATGTTGAGAGAGCATTATTTCATGCACTTATAATTTAAGCGTTGCTAGCTGTTAAAGTCTAAGTATGCGAATATCGATCTGCTTGTGTTTTCCCACGCTTTACTCCAAGAAATCTGGCATAGAATAAATGACAGCTGTAAACAATAAAGAAGTGTTCAAACCGTAATGTTTACTCGGAATTATTGGTGTCTGTCACAGCAGAATACGTAGATAATGCATATGTTTACTTATAGCAATGTTGTAACATACGGATTAATACATAGTTGGGCAGTTTTTGGGTGTGGGTGTGTTAATTGCAGTAGTTCCCATACTCACACCCACTCCCTAGTTTTTCTTTAGATCAGTGGTAACTGCTTCCAGCGCCCATCTTCAAATCCGTCACTGCCTTATACATACCATTTTCTCAACAAACAAAATGTGTTCGGATAGAGACCATATTGTGCCTGGATTCTCTAAAGTTTGTTTAGTATTTTTGATATTCTATGTTGCTTTGTCACTTGATATGATGGTCAAGTAAACGGAACTTTCCAAAAGTTCGTCGCAAAAAGCCTCTCGAGAAGGATAACCAGGATGTGGGTGTGGTGTAGATGTTGGTTTAGGTACTGATTTCCTCTTTACTCCCATCCATCGACATCCACACTCACACTCTAGAATCTCTTTGGTTTCGTGTTCACTATTTCATAATTCTGCCCAAGTCCAAATCCCATCATGAAAGACAAAGACTTCTCTAATAACATAAAACCAGCCAGCTCTGGTATGCTTTCGAGTTCGAGCCAATATTGGTGCTACTTATCAAAGTCGACAGTACACAAAGCAGCAGGGTGTGAGTATCGATGTGCGTATTGCTGGAGGCAAGGTCAACAATCGCGCAGTCGCAAATCATTTGCACGCCCATACGTGAATTTTCTCACTGCATTTTAAACCTTTCAGTAAAAAAAAAAGAACAACATTATATATAGTGTGTAAGCACAAATGAAAAAGTGAGAGTCAGCAACATTCTCATGAATTGATAAGAGATAACAAAACGCTTGAGCTACTAGAGCAACTGAAGGTAACTTCAGTATTTGTTGCATACAATAAAAGCAAAGTCACATGAAGACCATATTATAATCGCTCCTATCAAATAATCTTTGATTTCACTTTCAGATGAACAGTGTCGAACTAATCAAACGACTTTTGACTGTTATTGAACAGGACATTTTGCCCATGACTCGAGTCGCTGTTACACAAGGCAATGGTGTCTATGGCGCAGCTATTCTTAGAAAATCGGATCTTTCGTTGATTGTTGCCGAAATGAGCAATGTAGTAGAGAATCCAACTTGGCATGGTGAAGTAAACGTAATCAAAAAGTTCTGGGAAATAAAGGATCGATCTAGCTTACCCGATGCGAAAGATTGCATCTTTCTCAGTACACACGAGCCTTGTTCGCTTTGTCTTTCGGCTATTACTTGGTCTGGCTACGATAATTTCTATTATCTCTTCAGCTACGAAGATACTCGTGACCGTTTTAAGATGCCATATGATATACAAATCATAAAAGACGTTTTTGGAAATGGTCAAGACAATCGTCCATTTTACAATCGTAAAAATTCATTCTGGAGCAGTTACAATATTCAGGAGATGATCAATAGTCTTGAAGAATGTGATGATAATCGACAGATACTCCTCAATCGTATCAATAATATAATCGAACAATATACAGAACTATCAGATATTTTCGAGGCGAACACGAGCAAACCAGTAGTTTACAAGTTTTGAACTGTTTTGTTGTAAAGACGTGTTTTTTAGCGATATTCGACCCCTTAATTTATATTTGAGTCATTAGTGGATCAATTTAAAATAAATTCCTTATAATAATCGCTTTATCAACTTTTCAAAATAATTCAGTATGGATATCTGTGTTTGTGTGTGCACATATAGCTGGATTTGGGTGGATTGGATTGTTAGTGAATGCAATGCCTACGCCTACCCTATACTAGAGAAGTTTCTAGTGGAACTAGATGCAACATTGGAGAATCATAACTCACTTCAATAAGATGAGCATTCTATTTTTCATTTAATTATGGAGAAAACGATTCCGTTACACAAGCGTATAGGGTGGGTGTGAGCGTGGGCGTGGATGAAGAAAACACTAAAAACCACACTCACACCCATTCCCTTTGATGTTCTTCTCGTTCCTATTTAACACAAAATGAATAATACTGAAAAGATTCAGAAGCTACATAATATCAAGAATGATATAATCTGTTCAAAAAAGACAGGGTGTATGGAAGGGATAAAAGGCTACAAATTCCTCAATAGTGTCAGTAATGAAATCAATTTATCTGCTAAAGTTTTGGTTTGACATATGAATATTTTTTACTAATATGATGAGTCCATTATAAAAAATTTTTGATATTTCTTTTAATAAATTTCTGTTCACAAATGATGATTAGTTTTTAAACATTTTACATCATTCGTCATTTTATTTAGCTTCTGCATCTTTTTAGTATTATTCATTTTTTTTTAAAAGATAGAAAAGAGAAGAACATCAAAGAGATGAAAAGATCAAAAGAGAGAAGGGAAAGAGAACGTGATAAGCGAAGATTTTCTCTGCTAGCAAAACGACTGAAAAAGAGACAAAGATAGATTAATGGATGCTATTTTATTTCACTATTTCTCATAAACTACAATTTAACTACATATTCAATTGGGCACAAGCTATTTTCTATAAACTTAATTCATCTATAATACGTTTCATCAAGTTTTCAAGTACTTTTTAAAGAGTTTTTATTATGCCAAGCTACAGATGGCTAATGTTCAAAACAAAAGAAAAGTCTCAAGAAAGAATGAAACAAATATCATTATCACGTTTTCAACGTAATAAAGTTGGACGAAAGTCTTATGAATTAAAAAATTCATTGTTTTTGAAGAAAATAAATAGTCTAGGGCTAAAGAATATTGAATAGGAAAAGAACAATATATGTCGGGTATACATATACATACATCAAAAGAAACAAACAGTTTATCAAAACGTAATTAAAACAAATTCGTTATGTCGCGTCAGAGCGGCTGAACGGCAAACATTTTGAAATGCTCCCTTAGTGAACAACGAGTACGAGTACTAAGCTGCATTTTGCTGAAAACTGCAGCTAAAAAGGATGTGCGATTCTGAAAATCTTACAGACACAATTTCAGTCGTCAGTTGTATGATCAGTTTTGAGTGGCACTATATATCATCTAAGTTATATCCATGTAGTGTCTGATTCAGAACATACCTGATGATGACTATGTAAGCCATAGTTGAAACGCGTCGTATGATGCTTTGAATCATATATTCTATTATAAAACACATCCACGCAAACACACCCTCAACTATGTGCATTAAAAATGTCAGCGACATACGAATAGACTATCTCCACTGCATTAAACACAGTTCATGAGCAATCATGCTATGATAAAACTGTAGAAAATCATTTGAATGAGGATTAATGTATTTCTTTTATTGAGACTAAAGCAAATAAGCAATCGTTCAAAGTATAAGAGTTCCTATGAGCTCTATTTATTGTTTTAAGTGTACTGCATTATAAAGTTTTTGCACCTTAGCATATAGACCATTATTCGACTAACAATATCAGCCAGGAATGGAGTAACTAATCGAAGAATCACTCGCAAACCACCGTAAAGTCCCAGCACAATAGCAATGCCTTGAATAAAGTCAGGTCGTTGAGATACCAAATATGAACAAGATAATGGTTGGCATTGTTCATAATAATTGGAATATGACATGTTAAATGACCATTCTTCTAGAAACATGTTATGAACCAAATCTTCAATGATAGCATTAGGCAGGAATCGGCTGAGTAAAGTAGCATTTAGTGGATGCCAACTTGATAAGTTGCCAATATTGATTGTGTGAATACATGACTCATTGTACAGACAAATTAGAGTAGATCGAAGAATCGTTTCCACAGGTGTACAACCAAGAACAAAACCTGTTACTAGTTGACCTCTTACAAACACAGTTTCCGTACATTCTAATGAGGTAGCACATGAACAATTCGAACCATGAAAGACTGGTTGTGTTGCAATGCGAGAATAGGGTACGTCTAAATTGTATTGCGATAAAAAAATCCAATTTGACGAGTGAACATTAAGTATTTGATTGAATTGAGACATTCCACGAGCAATTTCCACTTGCGAGAGAAAACCGATGATACTGTAGTTAAGTTGTGGCTCAAGTTCAAGCTTGACTTGAGAAAGAAGCTGTGTTTCCGAAATGACTTCTCCACTAATAATATTTGACAAGAGAATGAGTCTAATACTACTGTTTATTCTCTGTTTTGAGATCGTACAGAAAGCTTGAAGAGAGGTAAAGTAAAGAAATCCTCGTTTATTGAACTCATTAGTTGCGATATTCGACCAATTACCGTCACCAAAAATACTTCTGATCCATTCTGATTCAACAAATGCACTTGAACAAATCTGGTGAAATTGCAAATTAATTTGA